GTGGATTTGATCTTTTTCCTATTTAATAATTTTTCCGGATTCTGGTACGTTTTACAAATTTTAGTTTTTTTGTGAATTAAAGTTTTGTTCATCTTTCTTATTGGTTCAATAAAGTTTAGTTACGCCGTGTTTCTGGAAAAATTTATTAGAATCAGTAATTCTGGTTTTTCTAACACAGATTGACAACAATCTTGAGGAAATTAATTTATTATATATTAATCTATGTTTCTGATGGAGACAAAAATCCTCGTGATTTTATACTCCTTGAAGTCTGCAATTATAAATTATTGCTTACTAAGACTGTATCAACTTTTTTTTTATCAAAAATGGCAAACAACGATGTTACCGTGGTTGTTGTTGCACCAACCCGAACTGTTGAAAGAAATTTCAAAACTTTAGACTTAATTCACACAAATATATGCAATATGAAATCAACACCATCTCGTGGTGGAAAAAAGTAGTTTATAACTTTTATTGATGACTACACTTGATTTTGTTATGTATATTTGCTTAATAGCAAGGATGAAGCAATTGATGCATTTAAGCGATACAAAAATGAAGTGGAGAACCCATTGAATCTAAAGATAAAAATGATTCAGAGTAATAGGGCTGGAGAATATGAATCTCCTTTGCATAGATATGTTTGGAATATGGTATTATTCATCAAACTACTGCACCTTATACATCATAGTCAAATGGTTTGGCGGAATGGAATAATAGAACATTAAAGGAAATAATGAATACCTTAATGATCAATTATGGTTCACCCCGAAACCTTTGGGGGGAAGTCATCCTTACGGCTAATAAGATACTCAATAGAGTAGCCCATCGAAAAACACAATCAATTCCATATGAGTTGCGGAAAGAAAGGAAAACCAACTTGAAATATTTCAAAGTGTGGGAATGTTTATCCAAGGTAGATGTTCCTTTACAGAAGAGGATTAAAATTGAATCCAAAACAATAAACTGTGTATTTATTAGGTATGCTGTGAACAGTAAGGCCTGTTGGTTTTTGGTTCACAAATCTGATAATCCTGAGATTCATGTTAATACAATAATTGAGTCAGATAATGCAGAGTTTTTTAAAACATTTGTCCGTATTAAACTGAATGTGAGTCAACAAGTGAAAGATCTAAACGACCACGAGAAGAATTAATTGAAAATATTCAAACTAGTGAGGAACCTAGGCATAGTACTCGCCAACAGAAACCTGCTTCTTTCGGACCAGATTTTGTAGCACTGTTGCTTGAAAATGAGCCTCAAACATTTAAAGCAGCTATGTCTTCTTCTGAGTCAACTTATTCAAAAGAATCAGTTAATAGTGAGACCGAATCAATTTTAAGTAATTACACTTGGGAATTGCCTGATCTTCCTCCAGGAAATAAACCTTTAGGATCAAAATGGATATTTAAAAGGAAAATGAAACCTGATGGAACTATTAACAAATATAAGGCTAGACTGGTAGTCAAAGGGTACAAACAAAAGGAAGGTCTGGACTACTTTGACACATACTCTCCAGTAACAAGGATAACATCAATTAGGATGTTAAAACCACTAGCAGCAGTGCATTATCTTAAAATCCCCAAAAAGGGTGTAAAAACGACCTTCTTAAATGGAGAGTTGGAGGAAGAAATTTACATTGAACAACCCGGAGGGTTTGTAGTTCCTGGTAAAGAAAATAAAGTGTGCAAACTTGTAAAAACACTTTATGGACTCAAGCAAGCACCCAAACAGTGGCATGCTAAATTTGACCAAACAATGCTGACAAATGGATTCAAGATTAACGAATGTGATAAGTGTGTTTACATTAAAGTTGTTATGAATCGTGAAGTCATTGTTTGTTTGTATGTCGATAACATGTGAATAATGAGTAAAGACATTGACGATGTAAATGCTACTAAGTGCATGTTGTCCCAACAAAGTTCGATATGAAGGACTTAGGAGTTGCTGATTTGATTTTAGGGGTCAGGATTATCAAAACTCCCCAGGGACTAGCATTATCTCAATCTCATTATATTGAAAGAGTATTGGATAAGTTTAAGTACTTGAGTTTCAATGTTGTCAAAACTCCAATCGATTTAAGTTGTACATTTAAAAAGAATGAAGGTCAAAGTGACTCTCAATTGTAATATGCAGAGTGCTGGAAAGTTTAATGTATATTATGAATTATACGCGAGTAGCATGTGTCATTAGTAAACTGAGTCGGTTCACTAGTAATCCGAATCAAACTCACTGGATGGCAATGAAACGTGTGTTGGATTGTCTAAAATATACACAACATTATCTTTTACATTATAATAAATATCCTGCTGTGATTGAAGAATATAGTGATACAAATTGGATCACCGGGTCAAATGAAGTAGAATCTACGAGTGGTTGTGTGTTCATACTTGGTGGAGGAGCAGTCTCTTGAAAATTGTCCAAACAGACATGTATTTCTCTCTTTAAAATGGAATCTGATTCATTGCTTTGGATAATGCTAGTGAAGAAGTTGAATGGCTCCGAAATTTGCTAGAGGATATTCCATTCTGGCCCAAATCTGTTGGATCTATTTGCATACATTGCAATAGTCAAGTAGCAATAAGTAGGGCAGGGAGCGTTATGTACAACGGAAAGTCTCGTCATATACGACGGAGACATAACACCGGAAGACAATTGCTCTCTAGTGAAATTATCACAATTGACTATGTAAAAGTCAAGCGATAATGTGTCAGATCCACTAACGAAAGGCCTAGTGAGAGAGGCAGTTGAAAGATCATCTAAGGGAATGGGTTTACGGCTTAGGACAAGTCAGCATGATGGTAACTCTATCTAGAAGACTGGAGATCCCAAGAGCTAGATTCAAGGAGAAAAACAAAGTTGTGGTTGACGGTTTGACATTGTCAATTAACTCAATTCATTCTCATGATGAAGACAATATTCAGGAACAAGGTTAAGACTTTAAAGCTTGTTAATGAGGTAATAAAGCTTAAAGTTTTTAATGATTTGCTAAGTTTGGTAGATTTGATCAAATAGTGTATCTACGAGATGACACAGTTAGAAATCACGTATGTGAGTGTGAAGTAAAAGCCATTTCAAAGAGAATTTTATGTCAAAAACCTATTCTATATACACTCATGAAACCAAGAGGTGTTCATGGCTGAAACGGACACAACCGTAAGAACCATAAACAGTAAAGGATTAATTGTGTGACATATGATTGTCTAGGTATACACCAAAGCTCAACGGTTCAAAGATATCACATCTACCGATTGACCGAGTATATCCGACATATGTTCACTATGGAAAGTCCAAGGGGAAACTTACTTATCCAGATGCAATTAATTTTTGCCTGTAAAGTATACAATTGTCTGTGCATTCTTATATTATAACCATTCCCCATCAATGTAGGGATTGTTGGGTATGTTGCAAGAATTGATGGGAAATAGAGGGAAAAAGAGAAACTTGAAAAGTTGGGAACTTGAAAAGTTGGGAACTTGAAAAGTCATCTTATGCTTTAAATGAAAAGGCATTTGTCCCTCATCGGTGGTGGAAAGTAAAATAGGAGAATTTAAATATAGAAACACTCCTATTAATTGATAAAATTGTTGGAAAGAGGGACCCCCTTTGCGCCGTCGTCGTCACTCGCTCGGCTTGGCTTTGGCTTTGACAAATGATCGAGAGATTATTTTTTGGACAAAGTTTGTTTTAATTATTTATTTAATTAATTAAATTAAAAGGCCAAAAATGTTTTCAATTAATTAGTTGACTTTTGCAGTTAAAATATTTAATCGAAACGTTTCAATTTTTTAGTTGATTAATCGATCCGACTCGGATCCGCGCGCGACCCGTTTTATTTGAACTTTCCCATTTTATTTAAAATTTCCGACATGACTGTTCTGAAAGGTTGCAACTTTCAAGAACAGTAAGTAACATTTGAAAGGTTGCAAACTTTCATTAATGATCGTGTGGATTCTGAAAGGGTTACAACCTTAAGGGGAATAATTTCCTTAAGGGGACATTGTGAGTTCAGTGGACTTGATCTTTTTCCTATTTAATAGTTTTTCCAAATTCTGGTACGTTTTACAGATTTTAGTTGTTGTTTTTTTTGTGAATTAAATTTTTGCTCATCTTTCTTACTTTTTCAATAAATTTTAGTTACTTCGTGTTTCTGGAAAAATTTATTAGAATCAGTAATTCTGATTTTTCTAACACAAATTGACAACATCACTTGTGTTAGTAATTACAAGTTGCTTGAAGTTAGTGAAGCATTGAAATCTTGTGAGACGGGTCGTATTTTTTTCTCCTTTGAGTAAGGAGGTTTTCACGTAAGCATATTGTGTCATTTTTGTGAAAATAAAGATGATTTTTTTGGAGGTACAAAAAATATCTTAGATATTTATTAGAACTTTCTAGAATTTGGTAGAGTAAATATCTTTGATATTTACACTTAAGAAAAATTTAGATGTTCTAGATAATTAGATATTTATAGTAAAGTATAGAATAATCTAAATTCTTTGGATAAGGTTGCCTAAATTTTTCTTGTAGATTTATCTAGAATAATTTCTAGAAGCATCCCTACACTAGTATAAATAGAGATAGTCATAGTCATTTGTAACCAACAAACAACAACCCAAATCAAACAATGTTCTTCTATATCAAAGTTTTCTTATTCAAAATATTTCTTCTCCTTTCTAGCTTCCTCTTCTTTAGTTAGAATCTTCCCATCTTAGTTAACGACCTTGGGTTAGCAGAAGGGTTCTCTGGTTATACTTTTCTTCTACTATTCTCTACAATTTTACTGTCTAACTTGAATACTTTGTTAGCTGATTTTGTAAAGGGACCTGGTCTCTTAACTTGTGATGGACTCGTATAAGCTAACATATAGCGTAATACTTATCTGTTGTATCATTATCTAGCTTATAGCTTCTTTAATGAAGCTCCGCTTTTCCTCTTGAAATTTATCTTCGCTTTCGTTCACGCACAATAAACAAAGAGGATAGGTCTTATCATTTGCATTGTTTAAATCCAAACACTATAATGGCTTAAAAACTTGTGATTCAATTTCACAAAGTCATACATCTTTACAGACTCATTGAAGCATAATATTCGTGTCTGCAATGCTGATCATTATGTAGAAAGTACAACTTTATGAATATTCGACACACTTCCCTTTACTTTCACCTCACTGAGCATTTCTCAGAGAAAGTTACAGAAGACTGCTATGTCATGAATCCTAAGGCAAAGAGTGCCTCTTTGCTCTTAAAATGTTCGTAGCAAGATCTTATTCTTGTATTGTATCATCATTAATCACCTAGTTGATAGCTTCTTTGATGTCGATCTTCAATCCATGTGCCACCTGGCCCTTGGTGATTTCAGGGTTGTGTAAAAAACATGTGGATACTTGCATAAAGCATCACTAGATTGACATAAAATGGTATAAACAACAATTCAGTAATTTAATAAATCAAAACGCAGAGCACCCAAAAACCGTCACTTGGTGAGCTACAAAACTTGCACCTCATTGTAATTGTTTTTGAATCATTAGGCAGGACCATACTACATTATCATCATATAAAGAAGGGAAAATGCTGAAATATGTCATCCAACTTTGAGAAAAAACTCATTTATGTCATCATTTAAAGTTTGGATCATCTATGTCATTTCCGTTTGAGAATCTGTCACTATAACAACTATTTGTTATGGGTGTCCTGAGTCCACTTGATTTAAATTTTTTGTCATTCAAATATAGTATCTTCTACTTACAAAATAACAAACATTATGAGCACCAGGGATATGCAGCACCTTCAAGTAAGTACCACCAAATATAACTTTGTTGACAGAAGAAATTTTCAAAACTCAATTCCATAATGCAGAGTAAACATGATATACTAGATGAAAATTAGTGCATACATGCACGAACTTTAGAAAAGAAATAGTTCTCAGACTGTTCATAAATAATGAGTGCAAGATACACAATAAATACAGACCAAATTGCACAGCCCTTTAAGCTATTATTAAGTAGAAAAAAAATGAATTCCTACTTCTACAAACAATACATAACACCAGTAAATTGAAGTGGCAGCTGTGGTGTACACATAATAGATACTTTTTGACTTTAGGCTACAGCTGTCTTGATCTTCTGAAGTCTCACATACAGTGCGGCAAGAATGGAGTCAACTTCACTCAGCTCTAGACTGCCCAGCTCGGGAAGACAAGATAATGCCAACAATAAGACCATAAAGAGCCAAGGCTTCAGCGAAAATGAGAATGAGGATCATCCCAACAAAAAGCTTGGGTTGTTGTGCATTAGCCCTAGAAAATGATTGTTGTTCAGTACACAAATAGGAATCATTTATAAAGCTACGATCAGCTTGACAACATAAACACAAAATAAGTCATCCCAACCAAAGTGGATAGATTGGATCAATCCTAAGCTGAATATGTAATAACTAGCCTGCAACAGACATTAGATTGAGTGTTTGGCTGTTACATGCCATGCATAGTTTAGGCAAAGTCATATAGACTTGAGAATAAAAGGTTAAGAATCGTTGTATGTTTTTTTCCTAATATGTAATAGATATTACCATAAGCTGGGAACAATAACTAAGCATGAAGAGTTGATGAGTGGCTAAAAGATATGGAGAGAAAGAATCCTAGGGCAGAGCAATGAATGAAAGGCGCCCATTCTGTTAAATATACCCCTACTATATTTCGACCATATTAACTGCAAACATGCACCTTCATCTGGGACAGTTTGCTCTGCAAGTCAACACCTTAGACCACAAAAATTGCAAGATTCGAAAAAAACCATTGAGCCCTAACTAACCACTGGGATTGAAATGCAAGAATGTTATTTTCTTTTTTATTCATTTCTCACTTTCTTAGGAGAAATGCTCCTACAAGACTTCAGGTCTCTCTTTAATTTTATCTCACATAAGTTTCCTTTTCAGGAATACAACAGCAAACCCAGTATAGCCCCAAAAGCGGGGTTTACTTTTCAGGGATGTCACAAAATAATCAACCAACAGGTTATGTTAACAGCTATCTGCTATCCCCGACTGATGCAGGATGAGACTAGTGCTTATCTTTATTTTTCAACTAAATGGGAAAACTAAATCCAGACGGACTGGAAAAGGTCAATGAATTTTAACAGCAGCTTGAAACTGCAAGAAAAAGAAAAGAAATAACAGCACACATTATCCCTAAATTTATTTTCTTAAGAAGAGGGAAAAGCAGAGCAGAATAATCATAAATAACACTCCTACAAGTCCTGGCAATCATAGAAAATGAAGATGTTATTTTTTTGACAACTTTGAGATTCTAAAAAGTAGAAATTGTCACATGTTACCTTTTAAGTAGTATATATTTGAAAGGGGAGCTAAAAAGAAGAATGGCGTTTTTACATACAAAGCATACACCCGCACTTTGGAACCGACGAAAAGATAGTATACATCTTTCGAGAAAAGAAGAATGTTATTGACCTAAGCCAAACAAAAAAAGGCACTCTTTCAATAGCAATCCCTAAGTTCTCCAAAGAAATAATTAAAAAAATACAAATGCAAGTCCCTCAAGAGTGCATGAGATTAAACTGCCACACAATATACCTTTTGACAAGTTATAAATTAAGATGCATTACAGTCTCAACTTGTGAACAAACATTTGCACCCAAGGGTGTGGCTTAATGGTCAATGAAGTGGTTGAGAATCCTGAGGTCTCAAGTTCAAAATTCAGAAACTCAGTGGGAACAAAAACACTAGGTGATTCTTCCTATTTGTCCTAGCCTTGGTGGATAAAGTCTAAGTTGCTCGGACTCTTCATTATTGGTGATGCATCCGTGTTGACACGACATGGGTGTGGGTGTGGGATCCGTGTCCAATTTGGTGAACCAATTTTGGGTACTTTGACCAAAATCTTGGGGGAAAGTCTTGACATTTTTAATGATTTTTGTAATCAATACAAAAGCTAAGGTGAAATTGAAGAAAAAAAATATTTTATATATAGAAATTTCTATGTCACTCCTTTTCCTTTAAGCTCCCTTCTAGGATTCTCCTCGAGTTCCCTATACTTCATAATTTAGGTTTTATAACTCTATTTTTAGGCAAATCCCCGCACCTTATCCATACATGGATCCATATCTCTGATTCTTAGAAATTAGATAATGAAAGATCCGACCTTTAGATCGCACCCGTATCGAACACATGCACCTGAGTCCAAGCAACTTGGGATAAAGTTATTTCGTACCTATTTTTGGTAGGAGCTGGCATGTATCTAGTGGAATTAGTCGAGGTGCATGAAAGTTGGCCCAGACACCACGGTCATCAAAAAAAACTTATGGACAAACATTTCATTTGAAAATGTTGTTTTATCACCTTATAGTCATGGTAATGTTGAACTTGCAACACCAATATAACTTTGCTCTACACTTGAAAACTAAAAAATAACCTGTGGAAGACAAATGTTCCCACTATCAAAGGATAATGGTACGCAGTGTTAACTAAACATTTAATAACTAAGCAATAACAAACAACAGCACATATTCCAATTCATGTGGTACTATTTCCTTAATAGATCATTCGAAAAAGAATGTGATGCCTTTCAATAATTGGAAACAATTCAATTTTGAATTTCTCATATGATCCTTAATGGCATGATATAGCCACAAAATGGTCATGGCATGTCTAAAACCAAAAGTTCCAAGTCTTCCGTCCTTCTTGAACTTCATGATGAATCAAACTCTAACACATCAATTGGAACAGAGAAAGTAAAATAAGAAATTGCAAATGTTTATTAGAATTTTTAATTCTGCTCATTCCTGCTTTTCAAGAACTAGTGAAAGGAATACAACTTGTCAACCTTTCTCATAGTTACAATTTCTTAGGACTCAGATTGTTTCAACTTTGAAACTTAGAGACAATGGGTCCTCCACCTTAAAACAAGATTTGGTTCAATAGTTAGGTTTTGAACTCGTGATACATGCCTATGATAAAAATATGGAAAACTTTCTAATAGTTATATTACTCTCTCCATTTCAATTTGTTTGGCATACTACTCTCCATTTCAATTTGTTTAACCTACTTTCCTTTTTAGTTTGTTTAAATAAAATACTCTTTCCTTTTTTTAGTAACTCTTTAATTTCAAGTTTCCACATGGAATGTTTAAGATCACAAGATTAATGAAAACTTTGGTACATTTGACATATCTTAATTTCATACCACAAGATTCAAAAAAATATATTTTCTTAAACATATTGACTACTAGATGACACCCTTGGGGTGCAATAATTATATTATTACTGCATATTTTGTATTTACTTGCTCTTCACAAATAAAAACAAATTGCTTCCATGCTAGTTGGAGTTGGTAGTATACTCGGTTACTCACGTGGTAAGCACCCTCCACCTTCAACACTAAGGTTGTGGGTTCAAGTCACCAATGGAGCAAACAATATACTCCTCACTATAAATCATCATTTAAACATGTCTTAATCCATAACATATAATTTTAGGTTCTCAAGCACAATAAACAAAATATAATGTTAACTTTCTTATTCAGAATTATTGTCTGATATACATTATCAACACAGTGTTTAGTTGTTGCGTTATACGGAAGGGGATCTGAAAATAAGATGGTGAACTGAAGAATTAAATTGAACCTTAATTAAAATTACCAAGCAACTATGTTCTCTATCTGAACTCTTTATTTTATTAATATGAAAAGTTCCCTGCAGATCTGGTGCAATTTTCACAAATCATAACATTGTGAAAACACATACCAAGGCATCTCGATTACATTCTACTAGATCAACTCTCATTGAAACTCTAGTTCCGACTGCAAAAAGTTTTCTTGTTTTTTTTTGTAAAAATGTTCGACAACTAAAAGTTTATCCTCTCCATGTTACCAAATGACAAACAGTACAAAGACCATTTATCAATTTGTTCAAACAGCATAACAATAAAATCAATGTGGCGGAGTTCTTCGTATATGATTTTTCACATTCTAACAATTCAATTAACATTCAACAGGCACTAGCAAGCAAAGAAAGAAAAGGACAAGGAACCAATAAAAAAAATCAAGGAATCAATACCTAACACCAGCATCTCCAACAATACCAATAGCCATTCCAGCAGAAAGACCAGCAAGACCACAAGCAAGTCCAGATGAGAGATGAGCATAGCCATCAAATAGGTAATATGACTTTGTTTTGGGGTTAATCCCAGTACTGATGATCACAGCAATAATCAAGCCATAAATACCTAACACACCAGCCATAACCACAGGAACAATTGATTTCATCACCAACTCCGGTCTCATCACTCCCATTGACGCTACTCCAACACCACTCTTTGCTGTTCCATAAGCTGCCCCCATACCTATGAATCATTTAAAATAAAATTAGATTTGTGATCAGTTGCAAATAAGCATAAGACGAGCTCAGGCGATTTGCATAGGATGTGCTCGTATCTCCAGCAAAGACAGATCCAATATTTAAAGCTTATAGATGCACAATCTCATTGTCTTAGATGGTCATAACAGGAAAATGATATAATTTTCAATACTGTTCAGCTCCATATAACAAAAGCAACGAATTGAATTAATAGTAATAAAAAGCAACACCAGCAAATTACAATAAGGAATTGAATATGATCAGAGGCCGATCGGAGATTTCAAGCTTGTGGATGCAAAGAACCAGCAGAAGTGCTAACAGTATTCAAACAATTTCAAGTAAATATAGTTCACTAGAAGACGATCTGCTGCCATAGACTCTTCAGATCTAAGATAGAACTTACATGAGAAGACGAGGGCAGCGGCGGCACCAAGGAAGCCGAAGAAAGGAGCAGTTTCATCTCCGGCAAAGTTCGACATTGTGGTTAAGATTTGGATCTGAGAATTTTGAGTTTTGTAGATGAATAGATTTTTTTTCTCCTCCCTAACAAGTCACGATATGTGTCAATTGGTGTAAGCGACAAAATGATATAAATAGTCCCTTGAATTAATTCTTTAACTATTGAAAAACTTATCATAAGTTTTGGCTTCTTAACTAATCTCCCTATTTACTTGTTTATATTTTATTTTTTATATATATAAATTAAAAAAGGATAAAAATAATTTTTTTATTATACTGTCATTTAAACTTCTTGAAAATTTCTAAGTTTAATTCATCCTTTTTGAAATCATATTTAATAAAGGTAGAATTGTAACTTCACTATGTAATTATTATTATCTTAATATATGTGTGTCTTTTATAAAGTGAACAACTAAATAGGGACAGAGGAGTATTTATTTATCAATTTTAGTTTTTTAATTATAAACTTATCAATTTTAGTTTTTTAAGTATTCAAAAACTTATCAAGTTTAGCCTTTGTTCATTTTTAAGAGAAAAATGACAAATATACTCTCAAACTATGTAAATGATTGAGGAAAGGCTCAAAATAATCTCTCATCTTTAGGTTAAGGCTCAAAGTAATCCTTGAGTTTTCACATGGATCGCTAATAGTCTCTCATGTTTGCAATATTGGTACACTTTTGATCTTATCCTAAAATTTTGTCTATTTTTTAACATTAATTTTGTCCAAAATTTTATATAAGGAATGTCCAGTCGTCCTTTTATATATTAAATAGAAATAATAATTCTAATCTGAGAGAAGTTGATACGAAAAATAACTTATTGTGTTCACTAGAAATATTACTGCAACTAAACTAAGAACATCTTAACATATGACTATGTAAGTTAAGAAAAAATTATACTATTACGCGTGAAATGATCATGATGAACCTCTCGACTTTACCTGCAATACGATCTCTACTAAACAAAATAAAGTGTTGTTCTTCTCACGTTCTTTGATATGGAGTTGTTATTTCTACTAAATATATAAAATGACGATTGAACATCCCATACATAGGATATGGATAAAATCAATTCAAAGAAATAGGTAAAATTTTGGAGGAAGACCAAAGGTGCACCAATATTGCAAACATGTGGGACTATTAGTGCTTTATGTGAAAACTCAAGGATCACTTTGAACCTTAACCCAAAGAAGAGAGACTATTTTGATCCTTTCCTCTAAATGATATGCAGATACTTTCTGTTATACTTTTTGAAACATTGGTGCCCTTATCGTCCAAAAATTAAAGCATATATATCATTTATACTAACACTCATACAAGGTCATAATCTTATTCACCGGCCCGACATTTATGAAATATTGAATCCATTAATAAGATTGTGCCACGTGTCCTTATTTAGTCTTTTGTTAGACTAAAGGGCATATATACTCTAGTATTTTGAAGACACAATATCTCAAAAGTATGACAGAGGGTATCTGCATATCATTTAGTATAGTTTATGGGTATATTTGTCATTTTTCCTTTTCTAATACAAATAGCTTTGGTTTATATTAGCGAAAAATTTCGTGAAATTAAATTTTTGACCCATTTTAAAAGTTATTTGTCCAACCCCCCCCCCCCTTTTTTTTTCTTCAAACTATTCTTATGAAAAGAACAATAATGTCAACGATTCAAAATAAAATTAACTAGAAGAAAAAGATATATGTCCTAATTTTATTCAATAGAAGATAAAATTAATCATATAATTGTTGTTAATGACTTGAATCTACACTTGAATATGCTAATCAGTGCGGATTTTATTTAATTTACTCAACTTTTTTATGTAAAATAAAAATAAAATAAAAAAATTGTTCTATTTAAAAAATAAAAAAAATGCAAATCTACCATTTTATAAATTTCAATTTCTTAAAAGTTAAACAAATTTTATTAAATGAAGTAGTTGGAATACAAACTTTGAATTTAACGGGTATACTTTTTTTCTTTTTATAATAATGTTTGCAATAATATGCTTCATTTTATCCTCTGTTAAATAAAATTATGACTTATATTTTATTTTCTCGCGAATGTTATTTTAATCGTTGAGGTTAAGACTCTTCACATTAGGTTAATTTGAAGAAATAGTAGCGGAGAGAGAGAAACAACAAATAAATTGTTGAAGGATTTTATTTCTTGAGGCATGGATTCCGTTAATATAAAGCTAAGTTATTTGTATTAAATATTGTACAAAGACCGAACCTGATAATTTTCTATATACATAAATACTATAACTGTAAGTTTATAGTTAAGAGACTAAATCGGTAAGTGTGCAATTAAGGGGCCAAAACTGATAAATTTTTGAATAGTTAAAGGACTAAACTGTTGAGTCTATAATTAAGGGATCATTCTAAACCTACTCTTATAGTTAAGGGATTATTTATGTCATTACTCGTGTTGAAGCAAACTGAATAGTTGATGACTCGGGCATAATGAGTTTGGGCTTTCCACACTATTTTGGGCGATTGCACAACTTCGGATCTTAAGAGTTAAGGGGTCGTTTGGATATTGGTTAGAGTTATGGAGGTATTAGTTATATAAGATTTAGTTATGTGTGTATTAGTTATGGGAGTATTAATTATGTAGGTGTAATTTTATTATGTAGAGATTAATTATAATATAAGTTCATATATATTATAAATTCTCCCTAAAAAATGAAAGAAAGAATTTTTTTTATACTTGGTTAGGGTATGTGTTTTTTCTTTTTTATATTTTTAATGTTTAAAGCTTATAAAAATAAAATATTATTAACATATTTCAAGTACATTATACTATCCTATTTTATATAATTAAAATTTTGTCAATATGATGCATGAGTTGTTTGTACATTTTTTGTATACCAAATATATAAATTATATGTAGATTCACATTCTAAATAAAAATTAATACATGATAATTAAATATGTGGATATATTTAGTAATATATAACGATAATATAGCACATGCGCTATCAAAAATTATACATTCCAATTTATAATATTAATAAATATTTATATTTTGATTTTAAATGAAAACAAATAAAAAGTCATTCGTACACAAAAAGAAATAAGAAACAAAAATAGTTTGAAAAATAGAATAGCTATATAAAGTTTTATATAAAAAAAAATTAATAAGGATAAATGTGTAATTCATCTTTTTATAATTAATACTCATATAACTTATTTCACGCTTTTATCCTACATAATTTATACATAGATTTCCTCATAAGTTATGTAGGATTACAAAAGATGGAATCAAACAATTTATAAAATTTAGTACATGAATAACTTTTATATAATATTTAAAACTTTTAATCAAACATAGTATAAGTCATGTTGATTTTTCAATCCAATAAAAAACTTTTACCAAATATAGTAAAATTAAAACTAAAACTAATAAATTATTTTATACATGTATAGCATGCCCTCTTATACCGTAACCAGACAGTTCGTAAGAGGATATCATTCAAGACCAAACTATTTTGCACAATTGTTATACACCAAACTAGTCTAGAGTTATTTCAAAAATGTGTTTTCTTTTTTGAAAAAATTATCTAAATATACTTTTTATTTTGTCATAATTTTTAAAATTTTCTTTCATTTAATTTTTTTTAATCTCCTCTTAAATACATCATTTCCTTCACACATCCTTATTTCTCTACTTGATACATTTATTCCCTTTTGAATACATTCCTTCCCTATGTATCTGGATATCTTTGATGTATCCAGAAAACTAGTGGTATATTCGAAATTTATAAATTCTAAGTTCTTATAATTTGAAAATAATAATAAAATAATATAATTAGCTCTTAACACTATAAAATTTATGTAAATTATACTTTTTTTCCCCAAATTATTTCAACAGTGCTTAAGTTATATTTGTAAAATTTTTTATCAAAACATGGACAAAAAGTTAGTGATGTCCAAAAAAAAGGTCATTTGGGCAGGGAACAGTTTTGCAGTGAAGAATATAAGCTAGTTGGTTGTTTGACTTATATGGCTCTTCGATTAGGAAGGGTAATGACTCCCAATGGGCTGATAATAAAAAAGTTCGAAACTAAAAATTCGAATTGGCCCAATTTACCAAATGCCTGTTCATTCAAACCTGAGGTCATCAATACATATTTTTTGATTGGTCCTTTAGTTTTTTCCATCAAATTAGAGGTTTAAATTTTTTTTAGAAAAATACTTTGATAAAAAAAAAAGATAGTTGAAAAGACTGACATCGAGGAAACAGAAGTAAAATTATATTTTATGATCAACCGATATTTTTTCCAAATCGTAAGTCATCAAACTCTTTTAATATTTTAAACCTATTCGATATTTTTTAAAGAAAAAATGCATTGCCTTGAATAATGTGATGCAGTAGCCGAATGAATATTGTTTGGGTGGCGCCCCTCTTAGTTTATGTAACTGAAAATCAAAATAAGAAAAGTTTTCATAAAAGAATCAAATGGAATTTGCTATTTGTTAATCTAAGAGAAAGATTAATATATTGTAAACAAAGTTGAAATTGGGGTCCAATGTTATTCTAACATGTGAAATTAAGAGGTATGTGAGGAGACAACAACGTGTTACACAACTCTAACACCCTTCATAGCATTTTTAATTGGACTGGATCAAACTTGCAAATCTCTTGTGAATATTGTCTATTGTTGTTTTCAAGTAAGGAAGTAAAATAAAATTTTCCAAATTAATTTTAGAAAACCCTTTCCGCCGTCTGTGGGGATCGAACCCACGACCACGTGGTTAAAAGCCACGCGCTCTACCACTGAGCTAAGACGGCTCAATTGATGCAAAGTTGTCAATACTATTATATATAAAAGATTTTAAGGGGGCATTTGGTTACACATGTATAAAAGTTGTATTATTTGTACTATGTTTGATAAAAGTTTTTTATTAGGTTAAAATGTCGACATAACTTATACCATATTTGGTAGGTAGATTTCCAAATGTTGTATAAAAATTATTCATGTATTAATTTTATACAAGTGTTAGATTGTGTTTTTTTTTAATCCTATATAATTATTTCCACATAAATTATGAGGAAATCTATGTATAAGTGATGCGTAATAAAAAATAGAATAAATTATATAGGTATTAGTTATACATGTATTTTG